TTTTTTTTTTTTTTTTTTGAGATAGAGTCTTACTATGTTGCCAGGCTGGAGCGCAGTGGTATGCTCTCACTCCATCTGCCTAGCCTTGGGCAGGTGACTTGGCCTGTCTGTATCTCAGTTTTGTCTGTGAAATAAGGGTCATCAGAGACTTATACCTGAAGCTGCTGTGTGTCATTATTCACTGTTCTAGGGCTCAGAACAGGCATGCAATAAAAACCAGCACTGTCAGCCAGCCATAGTGGCTCACACCTGTAATCCCAGCACTTGGGGAGGCCAAGGCAGGCAGATCATCTGAGGTCAGGAGTTTGAGACCAGCTAGGCCAACATGGTGAAATCTCTACTTAAAATACATCTCTACTTAAAATACAAAAATTAGCGAGGTGTGGTGGTGGGCGCCTGTAGTCCCAGCTGCTTGCGAGGCTGCAGCAGGAGGAGAATTGCTTGAACCTGGGAGGTGGAGGTTGCAGTGAGCTGAGATTGCATCACTGCACTCCAGCCTGGGTGACAGAGTGAGCCTCCATCTCAAATAATAATAATAATTAAATAGGTCGTGCGCAGTGGCTCATGCCTGTAATCCTAGCACTTTGGGACGCCAAGGCAGGCAGAACATGAAGTCAAGAGATTGAGACCATCCTGGCCAACATGGTGAAACCGCATCTCTACTAAAAAAAAATGCAAAAAGTAGCTGAGCGTGGTGGTGCGCACCTGTAGTCCCAGATACTTGGGAGGCTGAAGCAGGAGAATCACTTGAACCCAGGAGGCAGAGGTTGCAGTTAGCCGGGATCGTGCCACTGCACTCCAGCCTGGCAAAAGAACAAGACTCCATCTCAATAATAATAATAATAATAATAGTAAAATAATAAAAGTAATAGGCTGGGCGTGGTGGCTCATGCCTGTAACCCCAGCCCTTTGGGAGGGCATGGTGGGCTGATCACCTGGGGTCAGGAGTTCAAGACCAGCCTGACCAACATGGAGAAACCCCGTCTCTACTAAAAATACAAAATTAGCTGGGTGTGGTGGCACATGCCTATAATCCCAGCTACTTGGAAGGCTGAGGCAGGAGAATCACTTGAACCTGGCAAGCAGAGGGTGCAGTGAGCTGAGATCGCACCATTGCGCTCCAGCCTGGGCAACAAGCACGAAACTCCATCTCTAATAATAATAAAGCCAGCACTGTCGTTGCCAGCTGTCCATCCCACCACGTATCCAGGTTTATGAGATACCACGTGTCCCCACAAAGCAAGCTGTAAAACACCCTGACCAGTGTAGTTATGTTTTTGTGAAAAGGTGACTGTGAGTCGTCTGACTCCATACTACAAATGCGTGTGCGGAGAGGGAGCTCCACCCTGCTCTCCCAGGCGCCTGAATGGCTGTGCCTAAGCTTGTAGCAGTGGCACTCCGGGAAGGAGCAGGCAGCAGGCCAGGAGAGCAGGTGGTGAGGAGCACTTCTGCTTTTACTTGATAACATTCAGCAAGCTCAGCAGTTTCACAGGTCTCTGGCATTCCTCGTAATCTTAACAAGTTTAAGAAAATGTGAGCAACATCAGAAATGTCCATTTCTAGAGCATTCTAATTGATAAAGTTCTGTACAGAGGGCTTTACCAGGCTTAGAAACCTTTGGAGTGGTGATGGTGTCTCTGAAGCTGAGGCTCTGAGGAGGCTCCTGTCTGGACATGTACTCTCTCTCCTCCCTGTGCCGGTCGCCCTGGTGCCAGGCTGCACGCAGTCTCTACGGCGGAGAGTGGGAGTGTTTCTCTTGTTTTCTTCCCTGAAAAGGGGTGTCTGGCGTCAGCAACCCTTGTGGCTGAGTTGCAAATCCGTTTAAGCTCTGGAATGTTCACAGACAGTTTTCATCACTTGTGAACTCTTGGTAGCTATTTCTTCTGCTAACCAGAAATCTAATTCCTTTACTCTGACCACTGGCAGGAGGTATGTGCATCATGGAAGGAGCTTTACACCATCTACTAAATGCCGGGATGTTTTTTTCCTCTAGAGAAACCTGATGTAAAGCAAAAGTCCACCAAGAGGAAATTCGTCATTCCGCAGATTATCATCACTCGGGCCTCAAATGAGTCGCTAGTCAGCTACAGTTCCAGCAGAAGTGAAGAGCAGAGAACCATCCGGGAACCTGAGGACTGGGGCCCCTACCGGCGACACAGGACCCCCAGTACAGCAGATGCCTATGACTTACATATCAAAGAATAAACAGACACCCTTGCATAGCACCCGTTACTCCCCATGACAGGCGTATTAGGAAGGGTGGCACTGCCTGAGCAGAACGGCCACCCACCCTCTGGGAAGCCACGTCCCTCTTCTCCAGTGCTCTCCGGTAGGGTGGCACCAGGGCCATCCCAACCCTGTGAGAAGCCATGGCCTGTTCTCTAGTGCCATTTGGTCCTGCCTTCCCCAGAGTTGCTGGCAGCTCGGTCGAGGCAGGAGTGACTAGCTCAGAAAGCGAGATTTGTGATGATAAATGAATAAATGAGTATGTTCCTGTTGGGAGTGGCTGGCTGTGCGGAGTGATGGACAGCAGATGGCGTCTCACACTCTGCTCTGTGGTGGACAGTTAAAACACTTTTCCTTCATTTCAGAAGAGTATGGCATGAATACTTGGAAGTTATAGTGAATGAGATGTTCCCCTCATAAACTGGAAGTAAAAAGAAAAAATTTAAAATGATGAGATGCCCCACAAACCTGGGGAAAAGGTCAGATTCTAAGAGCTAAACCTTAAGATGTAACATTACAGAGCAAAGAGGTGCAGACAGTCCCCTAACAGGACCCAGGGCTCCTAGCTTGTCTGTATTCCAACTCAGCGTATTAAAAGGCCCCAAAGAAGAAAGTGGGATGCGTTTGTGGGCAGAGGGCAGCGACCACACTTAGATGTTAGAAGTGGCCTTGTCAGCGCTGCCCTGGCTTTCTGGCCCACAGATGAGGGCTCCTGATTGTGGGAGGCCATTGAAGGGTCCTGAGCACAACGGCTGCACCCTCTTCAGCAGCTGTCAGGTGAGGCTAGACGCACCTCCTTTGTTGCCTGAGAGAATGCCCTTCCCTGTCTGGAAGGCTCATGCATCTAGTGATAGTGTGTTAGCTTTGTTAGTTTCTAGTCTGGCCAACAGGCTTTTCATATGATCTCCCGAGATATGCTTGCTTCAGTGGCCAACAGACCCACAGGACAGCAGCGTGTCCACCAGAGGCCCAGACGTGGACTTCTCAGGTGCCAGTGGGAGGGAGCCTGCTGTCTGCCACACACATGCAGTTCCAATCCAGACAGCCCTACCTGGCACATACACAGAGCCTCAGGAAATGTGAAGGGCCAATAAAACTTGGTATCTGAGATACTTTTGGGTACGCGAATTTCACTGTGCCAAAAGAAAAAAAAATAAGCTTAAAGATGAGTCACACAAGAAGCTGCCTTCCTTTTATTCCTAAGCGGAGAGCTACAAATAAAATTTCTCCACAGGGAGCTACTCTTTGTTCACCTTAGGTGAAGTGCCAATTTACTGGGCAGCAGATAAAAATATAAGTGACTCTTTCCTACCTGCTCCTTTTCTGTTGTAACACGTGGATTCAATGATGTAACCACACCCTCCATCCTTCCCCTCCAGCCCCTCTTTTCCCTTTCAATACTGAAGCCCTCAACGTCATCTTTGGAGGAGGGCACAGACCTGGCTCTCAGGTACACATCCTTAACCTTGGTTAAATAAACTAAGTTGAGGGAGACCTGTCTGAGATACTTTTTGGTTTACAAATTGGCGACCATAAAGGGACTCAGAGTATAGGTGGCCCTAACCTTGGCAGGTTTCCTGCTGTTACTTAGGACCAGTTTTGGCTGTGTGTATTGCTCAAGACAATAGGACAATTTGCTGAGATCTGGGAGCGCCATCACCCTCCAGAGAGTCTCTCGTCTCCTGAAACTTGGTTGAGGTCTGAGGTTTATTCTGCTGTACAATGCCTTTTCCTTTTCTGGTGTGTTACTTCCAACAAAGAAGATGAGTTTTCCTGCTTTCATGATGATGGGGACAGGAGCTTTCCTGGAGTTCAGCTCACATCCAACAGGGAAGGGGAGTTGGAGTTTTTCCTGATTCCAGGACGGCAGACAATCTAAAGCCTGGGCCCCGTTCCTAGGTAAGTAGCTGAATTAGGGTTCTGTCTTGGAAATTCTCCTTATTGACTAAAACTAAGATTAACAACTGGCTGGTCTAATTTCTTACTGTTAGTGTGCTCAGTAATTTGTATGAATTGTGGGATTGTTTTTGCCTAACTGCTTTTTGTTTAGTTGTTTCTGTGTTTGCTGTTTTTGCTGCTTCAGTCTCTTTCCCACTGGATTTGACCATCTCTCTTAGACTTGAAACTTCCCAATTGTAGGAAACAAGGCCTCTGAATTGGCAAAGTTCCCACAGCTGGGAAAAAGGGAAAACAAAAAACATCCAGCAAAAGGGAAAAACGATTTTGACCCCCTGATGGGCTTTACTTGCATAACAAGGCCACCTTTTGCATGCCAAGCCACACTCAGAGTAAGTGTGATCACACTGTAGTTCTGTAGGTAGATTCTGCCATTTTTCCACCAGACAGCCCAGGTTCAATTCCTAAATCCTTTCTGGTTTGAAATTTGTTTAACTTTTGAAATATCAGCAGTTTGTTCCAGCTAAAAGAAAGTAGTAAGATTTAAATGGATTTTTATTTTTTTTTATTTTTTGAGATGCAGTCTCACTCTGTCACCCAGGCTGGAGTGCACTGACGTGATCTCGGCTCACTGCAACCTCTGCCACCCGTGTTCAAGTGTTTCTGCTACCTCAGCCTCCCGAGTAGCTGGGATTACAGGCGTTGGCCACTGTGCCTGGCTAATTTTTGTGTTTTTAGTAGAGATGGGGTTTCACCATCTTGGCCAGGCTGGTCGTGAACTCCTGACCTCATGATCCACCCACCATGGCCTCCCAAAGTGTTGGGATTACGGGCATGAGCCACTGCACACATCCAAAAGGATTTTTTTAAAGAGCTCTATGGCCAAAAGTAAGCTTAATTAAAAGCTATTATCCAACATATTAGCTTAATTAAGTCTGTTTGCCACATACGCATATACAGAGTTATGCAGACAACCTGAAGATGAGCAGGACAGAGAGTTTTCTTGGGGTTGGAACAGTTCTCAATGGAGAAGGGACCCAAAGTGGGCAGCCTTCTACCTGAAGTTGGGTAGTTCCCTGCTGAAGTCCCCACCACGTGCAGCCTATAATTTTATGTTTGACTTGGCATTCATTTTTCATGTCCCTCTAACAGACTGCTGTGTATGTGTAGAAGAGAAGGCACCTGACTTCTGTTTGGGAAGAAACTTCCGTTTTTCTTATGGAACCCCAAGAGTATAAACAGACAAGTTCCTCTCACATCTTAAATAGCTTGCTATTGTATTGTGTTACCTGATTTTTTTTTTTTTTTTTTAACTGAAATAGTTGACAGGATTTCTTGGGTTGCTGCTGCTTCCGCTGGGGACCTCTGTGGCTGGTGGTGCCCCTACCCAGGCCTTGCTTGGCTCTGGGCTTGCCGCTGGAGGTACTCCACCCACCTAGCCCAGCAGACCACACTCACCATGGGATCTGGGCTTAGCCCATGGCTGGGCTGCGCCTGCCACAGCCTGCTTCCACCGTCAGCATCAGTGTCTGGGTGAGGGGAATGTGGTGGCTCCTGAAAACTTGGAGCTGCCAGGAACTCAGAGCCCCAAGGACATCACAGCTTCATCGTTCCCATGGCCAGTGGGCTGGTAAGTGGGTTGTCTTACAGGGTCACGTCCTTTTTGTATCTGTGATTCAGCAGGTCCCAAGTTCTTGTCCCATGTCCAAGAAGAATGCAGTTATGCAGACAACCAGAGGATGAGCAGAACAGAGAGTTTTGTTGAATGGTGGAACAGTTCTCAGGAGAGGGGACCCAAAGTGGGCAGCTGTCTACCCAAAGTTGGGTAGTCCCCCGCTGAGGTCCCCCACCATGCACAGCCTGTAATTTTATGTTTGACATGGCATTCATTTTTCATGTCCCTCTAACACACCCAGACTATCTGTCTGCATTTTGAGATGTAAATTTTGCTACCTGATTTTTCACTTAAGCATTCTGCCTTTGATATGTGAATTTGGGGCTATGTAGCTGAAAATTGCCTAGGACAGTGAAACAGCTTATCAAGTAGATGGAAGCTTAGTTTAAGCACATTGGTTCATGCCTATAATCCAAGCACTTAGGGAGGCCAAGGTGGGTGGATCACTTGAGGTCAGGAGTTTGGGACCAGCCGGGCCAACATGTTGAAACCCTGTCACTACTAAAAATATAAAAATTAGCTGGGCATAGTGGCAGGTGCTAGTAATCCCAGGTACTTGGGAGGCTGAGGCAGGAGAATCGCTTGAACCCAAGAGGTAGAGGTTGCAGTGAGCTGAGATTGTGCCACTGCACTCCAGCCTGGGAAACAGAATGAGACTCCATCTCAAAAAAAAAAAAAAAAAAAAAAAAAAGGAAAGGAATTGGAAGTTTAAAATACTAGAAAAAAAGAAGGGGTCTTATGAATCTTCTGTATAGCTGATACAACTATGTATTTATGTGTAACGCATACAATGTTTCACTACCAGAAATATACAAAAGGCCTTTAATTAATTGGCTTAAAGGAAAGAAAGCACTTACATCAAATACTGTATCAGAAAAATGGAAACTTTCACTCAAATGGCTTTTCAAATTTATGTGACTTAAGTAAATCCTTAATAAATAAGCTGGTTTTAAAAGTATTGGTAAGATAAAATTAGAAGTGTCTTCAGAATTATCAACATACATTATTGTTTAGATTTATTGGTCAAGGAGTTTAATATTTATCAATACATATTATAAATTGCCAAAATTTGGCATGAGGGTTACAAAGCTTGCAACCCAAAAGAGAAAATTATATTTGCGTACTTTTCTAATAAGTAAGGTATTTAATATTGTTTCATGAAAAGAGCTAAATCCTGAGGTATTGGCTGTTGATATTCACTTGGGGTGGTTGGCAAAATATTAAAGATATATTAGGAAAAGTTATAGATTAGTCTCAAAGCTTTTGGAAGGCCAAAAGGCTTTATTGGAGCCGGCCAAATGTGGCCAGTTGTTCCACTAAGTTAGGGAGAAAACAGGAATGAGGCTTTTCTAGTTAAGTCTGTTTACCCCATGTCGCGTTCTCTACTCTGTTTACTCATGTAAACTTTGTGCTGGATAGCCCTCTCGGGGAGGTAAAAGGGGAATTACCCATTAATAATGTTTACCCAGAGCCTGGAAACTAAAGCTTTTATCATTCATAAAACCACTCTTTTAACCATGTTAATTATACGCAAGCATGTTGACTTAGAACTGCTGTTAGGAATAAATGTGTGGATGGACAGAGGGTCTTGGTCAATGGGTTGCATTTCGCCCTCTGAAAGCAGCCAACAGCCACCCCTAGCCCACTTGTATGACTATAATGGCGTGAGAGCGCATTCATTCATCCATGGTAGAGTCAGGGTCTGCAGGCCAGACTTCACAGGTGGTGGTCGATGTCTCAATTGACATTAAAAAAAAAAGAAAAAAGAGAAATATTTGTTTAACCATAAGGTTCTTACTTAGATAAAAACCTGAAATTCACAGGCTATAAAAATGGTTAGTCCAGGCCGGGCGCGGTGGCTCAAGCCTGTAATCCCAGCACTTTGGGAGGCCGAGGCGGGTGGATCACGAGGTCAAGAGATCAAGACCATCCTGGTCAACAAGGTGAAACCCCGTCTCTACTAAAAGTACCAAAAATTAGCTGGGCATGGTGGCGCGTGCCTGTAATCCCAGCTACTCAGGAGGCTGAGGCAGGAGAATTGCCTGAACCCAGGAGGCGGAGGTTGCGGTGAGCCGAGATCGCGCCATTGCACTCCAGCCTGGGTAACAAGAGCGAAACTCCGTCTCAAAAAAAAAAAAAAAAAATGGTTAGTCCAGGCACAGTGTCTCATGTCTGTAACATTTTGGGAGGCTGAGATGGGTGGATCACCTGAGGTCAGGAGTTTGAGACCAGCCTGGCCAACATGGTGAGAAAAGTCTCTACTAAAAATACAAAAATTAGCCAGGCATGGTGGTGGGCACCTATAATCCCTGCTACTCAGGAAGCTGATGCAGGAGAATCACTTGAACCCTGCGGGCAGAAGTTGCAGTGAACTGAGATTGCACCATCGCCCGCCAGCCTGGGCAAAAAGAGTGAAACCCCAGCACACGCACAAATAAAAGGTTAACAGAGAAATAATTTTAAATGAAGAATGCCACAGTATTTTTTGTTTTTCTTTTTCTTTTTTTTTCTGTAGTCAAGAAAACATTTATTTGTGTCCTTTCTCAGAAGATGAGTAGAAATATTTTTCTTTTTTTGACGTGAAGTCTCACTCTGTTGTCCAGGCTGGAGTGCAGGTGGTGCGATCTTGGCTCAATGCAATCTCCACCTCCTGGGTTCAAGTGTTTGTCCCGCCTAAGCCTCCCAGGTAGCTAGGATTACAAGTATTTGCGACCAGGAATGGCAATTTAAAAAAATGTTTTTAGTAGAGACAGGGTTTCACCAAGTTGGCCAGGCTGCTCTTGGAACTGCTGACCTCAGGTGATCCGCCCAACTTGGCCTCCCAAAGTGCTGGGATTACAAGTGTAAGCCACTGTGCCTAGCCTATCACAGTTTTCTTAAGTAATCTAGGTAAACTATTTTTAAAATTAGGTAAACGTAATGGAATAAATACTTGTAAATAAGCTTGTTATAATTTCAAATCAAAGGTTACGTAAAATACTAGATACCCATTAAATGTCTAGCTCATTTCTAATTTTTCTTAAAAACAATTATATTTGGCTGGGCGTGGTGGATCATGCCTGTAATCCCAGCACTTTGGGAGGCTGAGGTGGGTGGATTACCAGAGGTCAGGAGTTCAAGACCAGACTGGCCAATATGGTGAAACTCCATCTCTCCTAAAAATACAAAAATTAGCTGGGCATAATGGCACATGCATTACTCAGGAGGCTGGGGCAGGAGAATCACTTGATCCTGGTAGCAGAGGTTGCAGTGAGCCAAGATTGTGCCACTGCATTCCAGCCTGGGCAACAGAGCAAGATTCTGTCTCAAAAAATATATATTTCAGGAAAAGATTTTTCTAATAAAGTTTTTATTAAAAGGAAATAGGCCAGGCACAATGGCTCACACCTATAATCCCAGCACTTTGGGAGGCTGACACAGGTGAATCACTTGGAGTCAGTAGTTCCATACCAGTCTGGCCAAGATGATGAAACCCTGTCTCTACTAAAAATAGAAAAGTTAGCCTGGGATGGATGGTGACACATGCCTGTAATCCTAGCACTTTGGTAGGCTGACCTGGGTGGATTGCTTCAGCAAAGGAGTTTGAGACCAACCTGGGCAACATAGTGAGACCTTGTCTTTTAAAAAATAGAGATGTAAAGATAGTTATAAGGAGGTATTTTTAGTAGGAACAGTTAAAAGGAAAATAAATTGATATGAGAAAGAATATTGTATGGTAAATTTTTGTCCTAAAATGGCTAGTTATTTTGAAAAGAGGGATGGTCATGATTAAAACAGGAAGTCCAAGTATATCGTAAATGGTTTATGTAAATTGTGATAGTTTGTAAAAAAGATGATTTTTTTTTTTTTTTTTGAGATAAATAGTTATGCTCTTGTTGCCCAGGCTGGAGTGAAGTGGTGTGATCTCAGCTCACTGCAACCTCCGCTTCCCAGGTTCAAGTGATTCTCCTGGCTCAGACTCCCAAGTAGCTGGGATTATAGATGCACACTACCATGCCAGGCTGATTTTTGTTTATATATATATGTTTTTTTTTTTTTTTAATAAAGACGGGGTTTCACTATGTTGGTCAGGCTGGTCTTGAACTCCTGACCTCAGGTGATCCACCCGCCTTGGCCTCCAAAGTGCTTGGATTACAAGCATGATCCAGCACACCTGGCCGATTTTTGTATTTTTAATAGAGATGGAGTTTTACCATGATGGTCAGGTTGGTCACAAACTCCTGACCTCAGATGATCCACCCACCTTGGCTTCCCAAAGTGCTGGGATTACAGGCGTGAGCCACCATGCCTGCTGAGAATTATTTTTTTTTTGAGATGGAGTCTTGATGTGTCACCCAGACTGGAGTGCAATGGCACAATCTCAGCTCACTGCAACCTCTGCCTCCCTGGTTCAAGCGATTCTTCTGCTTCAGCTTCCACAGTAGCTAAGATTTAGGCACCTGCAAACAGGCCTGGCTAAATTTTGTATTTTTTAGTACAGACGGGGTTTCCCCATGTTAGTCAGGCTGGTCTCAAATTCCTGGACACAGGTGTAATTTAAATATCTCCTAAAGGCTCCAGGATGTAAATGAAATATCAGAACTCAGAAGGGGAGGCATTTTATTTTCTCTAGGGGCCAATGCAATAGGGTTGTGCAGTGGGGAAGAGACATTGGACTCAACTCCCCATCTTCCTTTTTTTCTTATTTTTAAAAATTATATAGAATGTTTCACAAATTTGTGTGTCATCCTTGTGCAGAGGCCAAGCTAATCTTCTCTGCATTGTTCCCATGTTAGTGTATGTCCTGCCAAAGTGAGCATTATTTTTTTTATAGAGACAGGGTCTCGCTCTGTTGTCCAGTCTGGTCTCGAACTTCTGGCCTCAAGCAATCCTCCTGCCTCAGCCTCCTAAAGTGCTGGGATTACAGGTGTGAGCCTGGCCTCAACTCCCTCATTTTCTACATGCTGATCAAAACCTCCATCTGAGTGAAGCAGATTTGGCTATGGGCAATGGTTTGAGCTCTGCTAGCTCAACTGAATTTCAACAGTGGAGCCAGATTAGAGGACGTGCTGCCTGTCCCTGACACTGGACCTAGGCACCAACAGTGTTTCCTAAACATTCCATGTCGACTTTTCTTCCACCTTCCAGGGTTGGGCTGTGAGAGAAACTGGAGAGGCAGGTGCCTGTGAGAGCGGCTTCTGTCAGCCTGGGGTCAGGTCTTCCATGAGTGAGGGGAGGTATCTGCTTTTGCTGCATGTCAGAGACTGCTGATATAGCTGTCTCTTCCCACCCAGAAGCTAAGCTTGAATGACACCCCCTCACAGAGCTCCTCTCCTGTCTTTCTCTTGCTCCTGCTTACTTCTGTCACAGAGCTCGACAGCATGGATATCAGCACTTGTTTCCTTCAGTTTCCTGAAGCCCCCATGTCCTCAGAACAGAGGAGGCACCCAATGCCTGCAGAAGCCCACATCCCTCACCAGGGACCAAGTGACCTGACCCTCACCTGGAGGACCTTCACCTTCACCTCTCACCTGGAGGATGCACTCACCTGGAGGACCCCGCTCACCTTGGGGACCCCCTCCCACCTGTAGGATCCTCTCACCTGGACAACCTTCACCTGAAGGACCCCCCTACCTGTAGAACCTCCCCACCGGAAGGACCCCTCACCTGAGGGACAGGCCCCCCCACCTAGAGGATCCTCCCACCTAGAGAATCGTCACCTGGAAGACCTTCTCATCTGAAGGACCCCCCCCCAAAAAAAAAACTGGAGAACCTCCCCACCTGAAGGTCTCCCACTTGGGGGACCCTGTCACCTGGAGGACCCCCTAACCTGGAAGACCTTCACCTGGATAATTGCCATGACCTCCCACTCTGGCGCAGCCTGGTCAGGTGCCCGGGCTTCATCATAAAATAAGGCCCGAACCGCAGCAATCCGAGCAGGTCCCCGGAGCTGAGCGCCTAAGGCTGACCCGCGGGAGCGTCTCTTGGTAACCGTTGCTAAGGAGGGGGAGGCACGGGAAAGAGCTTTTGCGCCTGCGCGGCGTGGCTGTCCGCGTCTGCGCCTGCGCGCACGGCAGGCGGGGCCGGCGCTCAGCATGGCGGAGCCTGACTTGGAGTCGGAGTACATCCGTCTGAAGTGTATTCGTAAGGAGGGCTTCTTCACCGTGCCTCCAGAACACAGGGTGCGCGGGGTGCCATCCGGGCAACTCCACCCGCCCCGCTCGCGGTAGTGCCCGGCCGGGCGCGGAGGCTTCCGGCACGGGCGGGAACGACATTCCCAGTTTCCCCGCGGCTGGGGCTGAAGCCGGCGCGGGGGCGGGGGCGGGCGGGAGCTCGGGACCACGGGACCCCGTTAGCTGAGCCTTGGGGGTCTCCGGGGGCCGGGCGGGCTCAGGGGCGCCTAGCGCCGCGGACGGACGGGCCCGCGCCCTGGGAAGAGCAGGCTCCGGGATCCAGCTCGGGCGCCGCTGAGGCCTGCGTCCCGGCTGGGCTTTGCAGGCCGAGCCGCGAGCCGCTCGTGTAGCGGCAGAATTGACTCGCGCGGCGAGTTGGAGCTTCGAGGCTCCCGCTGGGCCTGGGCTGCATCGAGCGGGCGCCAGCGCTGCCTGGTGGCTTCACGCTAGCCCTGGTTCGCAACCAGTGACAAGGTGTCTGTGCCGCCCTCTGCAGAGAGGAGAGAGCCTCGGGGCGTGGGGCGATGCTGCCGAGGTGCGTGGCTGGCGGGGGCGCAGGGGCTTGAAGTTTGGCCGCTGGGTGGTGGTTTAACTGCTGCCTGATGCTGAGAGGCCATGTGTCCAGTAAGAATCGTTAGCAGATCGTGGCTGGATGACGGCACGAGGTACACAGGCCTTGGCTGCTCCTGGTACCTCTTTCAGACGTGCAGCAAGCGCTCCCCGAGTTGAGAGCTCTGTGCTGGATGCTGGGGTGAAGCAGTGAGTTGGCATTTCTTTTTTTTGTTTTTTTCCAGATAGGGTCTTGCTCTGTTGCCCAGGCTAGAATACAGTGGAGTGATCCCGGTTCAGTTCGTCGTCGGCCTCCTGGGCTCAAGTGATCTTCCCGCCTAGGCCTCCCAAAGTATTACAGGCATGAGCCACTGCGTCCAGCGTGGCATGGCATTTCTTTGGGGTTAGGAAGTGTGGCTAGAATTTGGACACCCAGAAATAAGGGTGACACAAAGAGCACACGCAGAGAGGATGTGAGAGGGGGATTAAGGCCGGAAAGGGAGGTTGAGGCGACAATGTGGAAGAGTGGCAGGCTAGATGATTGTGACTCGGCCTCCAGGTGTCAGGAAGTAATAAGACTGAGGACAACGCCGGCCAGTGGCTCACACCCGTAGCCTCAGCCGTCTGGGATGCCGAGGTGGGAGGATTGCTTGAGCCCAGGTTTGAGAGCAAGGGTAGGGTTCAGAGAAGGAAGCCAGAAAGTAGGGGCTGTTAGAATTCCAACCTTGCCACATGGACGTCTTACGGGGAAGAGTGCAGACTCTGCTACAACACAGACCCCAAAATGCACTGGCTCAGGTAAGAGGGTGCTTTTTCTCATCCTCCTCTAACATTCTGGAGAGAAGCAGTTGTTCTGCACAAGTGGGCCAGGCATTTTGGTTCCATCTGTCTTCCTGTGGCTGAGGGGAGGAGAAGTGGGTGGCTCCAGTTTCCTTTCATCTGGAAGTCACACGGTCCCTTCAGCTCACATCCCGAGGCCAGGTGCCACAGGGTAGTGTTTTATAACTTCAAGGAAGTAGTGACATACGGATGCTGGGATAGCAGCCCTGCCACAGATGTATTTTTGCATGTGGGATTGAAAGGGAGTAGTTGAGTGGCTGCCTCTGATATTTCTTTCAAAGTGTTGGCCCAGTATCGTCACCACCTCTTCTCATCAGGAAAGCCCAAGAGGCTGGGCACGGTGGCTCACACCTGTAATCCCCACACTTTGGGAGGCCGAGGTCAGGAGCTCGAGACCAGCCTGGCCAACATGGTGAAACCCCATCTCTACTAAAAATACAAAATTAATCAGAGTAGTGGCACACGCCTGTAGTCCCAGCTACTCAGGAGGCTGAGGCAGGAAAATCACTTGAACCCAGAAGGCAGAGGTTGCAGTGAGCCAAGATTGTGCCACTGCACTCCAGCGTGGGTGACAGAGCGAGACTCCATCTCAAAAAAAGAAAAAAAGTTTAAAAAAAAGCCCAAGCATGTAGTTGCCTTTCTGTTTGGTGAGCAAGACCTGGGCGGGCTCCCTGCTACAAATTACCTTTGAAATACCCATCCTAAGTTTGATCAGCTGTCAAATTTCCACACTCGCAACACCCCTTTCTTTCAGCTGGGGCGATGCCGGAGTGTGAAGGAGTTTGAGAAGCTGAACCGGATTGGAGAGGGCACCTACGGCATCGTGTGTGAGTGGCCAAGGCTGGTGGCTGTGACAGTGTGGGACGAGAGCGTTGGGGCTGGAAGGGATTCATACCCTGTGCTCTGAACCAGGGCAGAAACTTGTTCAGGAAGTTTAATTCCTGGTGTGATTATTGCAAGCGTTGTTCCATTTCTGGATAAATGTAAGCATCAGGTTGCTAATACCCATAATCCAGTGTGTGTCACTGCAGAGTAGGGTGAACCATTAGAGAAATAAAATGCAGAACTTTCCAAAAGTATCTGGAGGTGGACACAGTACTCATGTCAATAACCTTAGCCACTCTCGAGGAGTCCCCTGAGCCCAGGTGTTTTTTGTTAGTTTGTTTGCGAGACGGGTCTTGCCCTAGAGCCCAGGCTGGAGTCCAGTGACGTAATCATACCTCACTGCAGCCTCGACCTCCCAGGCTCTAGCGATCCTCCCGCCTCAGCCTCCTGAGTAGCTGAGACCACAAGCGTGCACCACCACACCAGCTTATTTTACAATGGGATTTCCTTATATTGACTGGGTTGGTCTTGAAGTCCTGGGCTCAAATGATCCTCCTGCCTCAGCCTCCCAAACACTGGGATTACAGGTGTGAGCCACTGACCCGGCCAAGCGCAGGAGTTGGAGGCTGCAGTGAGCTGTCATCATGCCACTGCACTCTAGCCGTAGTAACAGAGTGAGACCGTGTCTCAAAAAGAAAAAACAGTGGTTCACACCTGTAATCCCAGCACTCTGGGACCCCGAGGCGGGTGGATCATGAGGTCAAGACATCGAGCCATCCTGGCAAACATAGTGAAACCCTGTCTCTGCTAAAATATAAAATTAGCCGGGCGTGGTGGCATGCGTCTGTAATCCCAGCTACTCAGGAGGCTGAGGAAGGAGAATTGCTTGAACCCAGGAGGCGGAGGTTGCAGTGAGCTGAGATCACGCCACTGCACTCCACCCTGGTGACAGAGTGAGACTCTGTCTCAAAAAAAAAAAAAGAGAAAAAAGAGAGGCTGGGTGTGGTGGCTCATGCTTGTAATCCAAGCACTTTGGAAGCCAAGATGGGTGGATCACCTGAGGTCGGGAGTGCAAGACCAGCCTGACCAACATGGTGAAACCCCGTCTTAAAAAAAAAAAAAAAATACAAGACAAAAAAAAAAAAAAAAAAAAGAAGAGAGAAAACCACACCACACAACTGACGCTTACAATGGCTGTGAAATTGTAGCGTTATCTTCACACAAAATAAGGTTGACTTTTTTCTACACGTAATACCTTATTTGCTTTTAGGAGATTACAAGAGAGCACACAGCAGTGGTCTGTGTGCTGAGGAGGAGGACACGGAGAGCCTGGAGCCACAGAACTGAGTGGCTGGAGCCAGGTCCTGCACAGAACAGGGCACCCCCCCCTCCCCCAGGTCAAATGAAGAAATTCCCCAGGGAGCATGTGTCTTGGGCTAGAGCTGTTGCACAGAGTGAGAATTGAGTGTCGCTGGCATGAGGTTGTCAGAGGAAAGAAAGGGCACCCCTGCGGCTGAGGGAGAGGCTCCTGTGCGGCTAGGGAGCCCACGAGGGTACCGATGGGACGTCATCATAGATGCGTTTCCACTGCAGATCGGGCCCGGGACACCCAGACAGATGAGATTGTTGCGCTGAAGAAGGTGCGGATGGACAAGGAGAAGGATGGTGAGCAGATGGGGTGCTGGGACCTCACGGGGAGGAGGTGGGAAGGCGTGAGTTACCTGAACCCTCCTGAGTGCAACTGCACCGTGACTGGAGGGGCCAGCCTCTGGGAGGGTTCTGCTGTGGCCCAGCATGTCACCTCTCAGGTCCACACTGGGCCCCAGATCTCTGCCAGGGGGGCTTTGTGGTCTGTATCCCCTCTTCTCCCTCCTGTCCGGTGAGCCCACCTCCCTGCAGGCTCAGCTTTGCTGGCCCCTCCACCCCCAGCACCTGCCCTGTCCCCAGATGAATGTCCACAGTGGTTAGAGAGGTGCCACTTTGTATTTGGTCAAGGAAGAGTTAAAAGTGCTTACTGGGGTCGCCCTGATTCTCCCTGAAGTGGGGACAACTTTAGCACCTGGTATCAGGTGTTCCTGGAGCTCCAAGAGCAGCGGGGCTGGGGGCTTCCCTGTGGTCACTGGTGGGGCTCACTGAGGCCGCCTCCCTCTGCAGGCATCCCCATCAGCAGCCTGCGGGAGATCACACTGCTGCTCCGCCTGCACCACCCGAACATCGTGGAGCTGAAGGAGGTGGTTGTGGGGAACCACCTGGAGAGGTGCGCGGTCTCCTGGTCTGCGTCGGGCCCCAGGGAGCATGTGTGTTGGGCTAGAGGCATTGCACAGAGTGAAGACTGAGCGTCACTGGGCATGAGGTTGTCAGACGAGGTGACCCCACCTCACCGCCTGGCTTGGCGCCCATTGTCTGAGGGGGACACAGGTTGTCTTGCTTATGTTCCATCCTGCAGAAGGGGAGGTCCACTTTGACCCCTTGGGAGAAGGCAGAAGGGTGGCATGCATCTTCTGTTTCTTCCAGCATCTTCTTGGTGATGGGTTACTGTGAGCAGGACCTGGCCAGCCTCCTGGAGAATATGCCAACACCCTTCTCGGAGGCCCAGGTGCGTGGCAGAGGGGGCTCAGGATGGGGGGATGGGCCTCATGGGCCCTTGTGGTGCACATTCGTAACACATAGGACCACCTGGGGACTGGTAGAGCGCTGCTGCCGCTGCCTCTGCCTCTGCCTCCAGTGTTTCAACGAGCTGAAATTCCATGAGGGGAAATCCTGTTGGGGGTGCATTTGCTGGGAGTGGGCAGCCCCGGGTTGAGAGCCTTGTAAGGGCGCTGGTTTCCCGGGCTGTTGTGGTGATGGCTCCCCTGCAGGTTAACCCTGACTGGTACCTCTGACCCCTGACCCTCTGCACAGGTCAAGTGCATCGTGCTGCAGGTGCTCCGGGGCCTCCAGTACCTGCACAGGAACTTCATCATCCACAGGTGGGTGGAGCCAGGCAGAGGTGGAAGCACCACTTCCTTTGAGGCCTGACTGCTGCCTCCTGAGCAAAGTTAGACGATCTCGGGGTTCCCAGCTGTCACAGCTTGCCCACTGCTTGCACTCCACTGGTATTTTTTCTAAAATAGACATGGAGTCTCTCTATGTTGCCCAGGCTGCTCTCAAACTCCTGGGCTCAAGCGATCCACCCACCTTGGCCTCCCAAAGTACTGAGATTACAAGTGGGAGCCAACTTCCCTGGCCATGCACTCTTTTTTTTTTTTTTTTTTTTTTTTAATACAGAGTCTTGCTTTGTCACCAGGCTGGAGTTCAGTGGTGCCGTCTTGTCTCGCCGCAACCCCCACCTCCCAAGTTCAAACAATTCTTCTGCCTCAGCGTCCCAATTAGCTGGGATTACAGGTACATGCTACCATGCCCAGCTAATTTTTTGTAGTTTTTTTGGTAGAGATAGGGTTTCACCGTGCTGATCAGGCTGGTCTCAGACTCCTGACCTCATAATCCGCCCACCTCAGCCTTCCAAAATGCTGGGATTACAGGTGTGAGCTACCATGCCCAATCTTTTTGTTTGAGACAGAGCCTCACTCTGTCACCAGGCTGGAGCCCAGTGGCATGATCTTGGCTCACTGCAACATGTGCCTCCTAGGTTCAAGTGATTCTCCTTCCTCAGACTCCCACGTAGCTGGGACTACAGACGTGCACCAGCACACCCAGCTAATATTTGTATTTTTAATAATGACAGGATTTCACCATGAGGGCCAGGATGGTCTCAATCTCTTGACCTTGTGATCCGCCTGCCTCAGCCCTCCCAAGTGTGGGGATTACAGGCGTGAGCCCCTGTGCATTGCCCGCTCCCATTCTTAAAAGGCCTAAACATTAAGAGCATGTGTGAGTTAATGAAAAAATAAATAAAGATACTAAAAAGCTGAAGCATGCCGGGCGCGGTGGCTCACGCCTGTAATCCCAGCACTTTGGGAGGCCGAGACGGGTGGATCACGAGGTCAAGAGATCTAGACCATCCTGGTCAACACGGTGAAACCCCGTCTCTACTAAAAATACAAAAAATCAGCTGGGCATGGTGGCGCGTGCCTGTAATCCCAGCTACTCAGGAGGCTGAGGCAGGAGAATTGCCTGAACCCAGGAGGCGGAGGTTGCGGTGAGCCGAGATCGCGCCATTGCACTCCAGCCTGGGTAACTGAGCGAAACTCCGTCTCAAAAAAAAAAAAAAAAAAGCTGAAGCATGAGGAAGTGTGCAGGAAGTATGTGGGCATTGGTGCCGTGGGGAAGTTCTGATCCCCCAGGTGGCCCTGGCTGTCCGGGAACCACCGCCACTGTCTTTCCATCACAGGGACCTGAAGGTCTCCAACTTGCTCATGACTGACAAGGGCTGCGTGAAGACAGGTGGGTGCAGCTCGTGCAAGCCCCGTCCCCACATGGCAGCTCGTCAGTCCTTGCTCGGCAACACTCACTCCTCTTTCTGCTGTAGCGGATTTTGGCCTGGCCCGGGCCTATGGCGTCCCAGTAAAGCCGATGACCCCCAAGGTGGTCACTCTCTGGTGAGTTCCTTGAAAGCATGGTGGCCCCTGGGGACCAGGCGTGCCTGGGGGACCGCTCCTTGGGGATGTCAGGCTGAAGTGGCAAATGGGCCTTGAGAATCTTAAGCTATAGGGCCTGTGCACACTTGTAAACGCTGGGTCTGGGACAGCCTCCCAGGAAACAGCAGGGCTGTCCCAGGAAATGGTGAGAGCCGGGCATAGTGGCACCAAGGGACCTGCCCAGGTGAGACACACCTTGGCCTGAGGTAGCCAGAAACACAGCGTGGCCGTGAATCTGTCCGTGGGAAGGAAGGTTGCTTCACAGGCTAAAGGGTGGGCAGCTTGTGTCCTGCTTCTGGTTCTTCCTCCAGGACAGTTGCAGCAGGCCAGACAGGGTCATGCTTAGCACGGGCTGAACGTCAGGGTTGGTCAGACCCAGGTCCAGACCCACGTGCTGTGTGGTCCCCGTCAGAATGGGCTGGTGGTGGCTGGTGTGGCTGTGTGCTAAGGGCCGTGGTCCTGGAGACTCTCAGGACATAGCTGCGCGGGATGGCTCTCGCCACCAGCAGCTGTTGCTGTGTGGGCCACCTGGATTGCAGGGCTTGGGGCAGAGGGTGGTCCCACCTGGAGTACTTTCCAGGCCTGCAGGCTCTCAGGGAGGCCATGTCCTGTGGAGGCTGGGGCTGGGAAACAGAGCTGGCCATGCTGAGGTGGCGTTCTGTGTGCAGGTACCGAGCCCCCGAGCTGCTGCTGGGAACCACTACGCAGACCACCAGCATCGACATGTGGTGAGTGCCTGCAGCCTCAGGAAGGGCGGGGACAGGAGCTGGGTCACCTGGTCCCTGAGCTCAGCCTCAGGGGAGGAGCAGGAGTGCAGTAGGGTCTTTGCCAGCCTCCCACTCCCAGGGAGGTAGGCCTGAGCCTGGGAACCCAGGAGGAAGTGTGAGAACTTAGCTTGCTGTTGCCAGGCCTGGAGCACCGAGGTCTGCAGGAGGGACGCTTGCCCCTGCCAGTGTCAGCCTGGGAGGCCTGCAGGGCCCAGGAGGGGAGCCCATGGTCGCTGCCTGTCCTCAGTGCCCTTGACCCAGCCTTGCACTGGTGGGGTCAGCAGAGGTCTGACTGCAGTGAGGTCCTCTGTTCCTCATGCTATTGGGGTCAGCAGAGGTCTGACTGCAGTGAGGTCCCATTTGCCTTGTGCTGTTGGGGTCAGCAGAGGTCTGGCCGCAGTGAGGTCTCCTGTTCTCTGCAGGGCCGTGGGCTGCATCCTGGCCGAGCTGCTGGCCCACAAGCCCCTTCTCCCCGGCACTTCCGAGATCCACCAGATTGACTTGATCGTGCAGCTGCTAGGAACGCCGAGTGAGAACATCTGGCCGGTGGGTGTACTGGGCACCCCGCAGCCCCCTGCCCGTGCCCATGCCTGTGCCCATGCCCTCCGCACCTCAGCTCCTGCCTCCCGTAGGGCTTTTCCAAGCTGCCACTGGTTGGCCAGTATAGCCTTCGGAAGCAGCCGTACAACAACCTGAAGCACAAGTTCCCATGGCTGTCGGAGGCCGGGCTGCGCCTGCTGCACTTCCTGTTCATGTACGACCCTAAGAAAAGGTGCTGATCCCTGCACGGGTCCAGGGACACCCACCACCCACATTCTGGGGAGACAGTTTCCCAGAGCCTAGCCCACTGCCGCAGAGACGCCCTCCCCAGGCACACACCCACTCGCATTGGCTTCTGGCCGCCCATCCTGCCTTTGAGAATCTGGATCATGGGCTGCTCCACCGGGTGGGAGGTGAGGAAGCCAGATTCACCGTCCAGTCACGCACGCTGCCTTCCTCCAGGGCGACCGCTGGGGACTGCCTGGAGAGCTCCTACTTCAAGGAGAAGCCCCTGCGTGAGTGTCTGGCTTCCTCAGGCCTGCTCGGGAGGGCTTGGCTGGGAGCCATTTGCCCAGGGTGGGTGGTGGAGAGCTGTCCTGGTGCCGTCCCTGAGCACACGCCCTCTCTGGGGTAAGAGGATGGGGACATGGAGGTGCAGACAGCCCAGGGCCAGGTCAGGAGGCAGTGCCGGACTCAGACCTGGGCCTGCTGCCTGCCAGCCCTGAACTGCCCTTCTCCCTACAGCCTGTGAGCCGGAGCTCATGCCCACCTTTCCCCACCACCGCAACAAGCGGGCTGCTCCGGCCACCTCCGAGGGCCAGAGCAAGCGCTGCAAGCCCTGACGGCGGGCCTGGCTCATGCCTGCATCCCACAGCCAGATCTTCAGATCGGCGGTGTCTGTGAAGGGTGCTGTGATCCAGGCTCACTAGGCATCTGGGATCTGGCTGGTCCCCTTGACTGGGACCATCCTCCAGTGACCATCCCACTGTCTTCCCCTGAACCCACTGCTGCCCTAGAAACAAGGCTTGGATGCAGGGCAAAGCTTCAGGGGCTTCCAGCCTGTGCACCCTGGAAGGGTGGGTCTGGTAGCTTCGTCCCTAGCTGCAGGGGTCTCATGCGGCTCTCCAGCCTCACTGTGTTGGAAGCATGGGACCCTGCTTCTTGGGAGGAGTGGCCAGTGCAGTTCCCTCTGGTGTCTTGGAGTCGTGGAGGACACTGGCTTGGGAGGAGCAGACCCCAGAAGACCACCTTCTCCTCTTTCAGTCGTCAGGAGCTGCCCCCTGCATGGGTCAGCTCTGGTGACCCCAGGTGGGCCTGCCAGGACTCCAGATGAGAACAAGAGGGACGAGGTGTGGTGTGCGGGCCACAAGTGAGGATGCCCCAGGAGAGCCCTGGGAAGGGGGCTCAGTTGCATCCCACTCCTCACACAGCGGCCCCAACGCTGATGTTGAGAGGTTTGGTAGGCTCTGGTCGGATAAAAACTTTCTTAAAAGACGTGGTTTCACCAGCATTTAATGTGCTCTGATGTCGACAGTGCCTTATGAGTTTGCCAGGAGGAGAGGACTGGGGGTAGGGGCAGGAGAGTGGGCTCAGCTTTGGGGTCAGGGAGGTCACCCCAGAGGGCTGTCGCAGTGGATGTGCCTGGCCCTCCCTCACCGGACCCAAGAGGGTATTCAGGGCAGAGCCACTTCTGTCCAGCCTGTGGGCTGCACCCAAGGGAAGGGAGGGAAGGTCCTGTTACCACAGGACCCACCAAAACCAGGCGGACCTGCAAGGCCCCTCTGCCCAGTAGCAGTGACACTCAGGGCCTGCCTGGCTGTCAGCTGCTATCCATTCCTGCAACTCTCAGGCACCTCCATGTCTGGGCTGAGGTCATTCCCTCTCTGTGAGCCCAGCTGATGTGACATCCAAGGGGAGGGCCAGTGTCCCCAAAGCCAGGTCAGCCATACACTCAGCAGAGCCCCCCAGATGGGCCCTAGCAGAGCTTGGGGGGGCCTTGGTGTCACCAACAGACCCTCGAGGACACTCCTGTGTGGAGAAGACCTGGGACCCCTGGAGGGCCCTGAAGTTCTGAGCCCTGCACTGCAGGGAGCCGGCCAGGAGCTGCCAGCCCTGGGGACAGGTTCAGGCACTGGCTAGAACAGGCTGGACCCCTCTACCCAGCACATGTGGACATGGGTCTGAGTTCCGAGGACAGAGAAATGTGGAAAGGTTCCGGCCTGCCGGCCAGCTGAGGCCTATAGCCTTCCAAGCATTCCATATACAGGGTGAGTCCCGCCTCCAGCAGAGGCTGGCCTGGACCCTCGAAGTCCCAGGGGCAAAGCAACCAGAGGTCCAGGCCGTAGGAGGCCCAGACCCCTCCCCAGGAAAGAGAAGCACCACGGGAGCTGTCTCCCAAGAGCCCTTGACCCGGGGCCCACCTGGCCTAGGGCCGGGCCCCGGGGCTGTTGAAGAGCAGGGTGTCCATCTGTGCACGCTGCAGCCACAAGCGCCGCTGGGCATCGCCAAGCAGCACGCGCAGGGAGTGGCCGGGGCGGCAGGCGGGCAGGGCCGCGCAGTGTGCAGCATGCAGCTGGCGACACGTGTCGCAGCAGAGGGTAGGCAGGGCACCAGGAGACAGGCAGCTGTGTGCCTGGTAGCCTGGGGGCTCAGAGACAGACCTGTAGGCTGAGGCTGGTACGCCCTCAGCCCGAATGCGCCTGGGGCTGGCCCCCGCAGAGCTTTCGGGAGTGGCCAGGTCTCCAGGCCTACTCAGCTCACTGCGCAGGGAGAGGAAGGAGAAGGCGGAGGATTCGGGTTCCAGCCCCTCCTCCAAGGCCCCGTAGGGTGGGGTGCTGGCCTGCGACAGCTCCTCAGCTGGGGGATCCCAGGCCCGGCCCTCAGGGCTCCACAGTTTGGCACTCTGCTCCCAGAGTGGTGGCCTGTAGGCCACCTCCGCCGAGGGCGAGTCAGGACCTGGTGATGGCTCCCCATAGAGGCTGGCATCCTCGGAGCCCTCGTCCTCCTGCAGGTCCCGGTATAAGTCTAGTGGGGGCCTGTAAGCAGCAGGGGATCCTCGGGGGGGCAGGGGTGGCGGCTCCTCATCCTGGGCCAGCCGCTGCTGCAGCCAGGCCACACAGGAGGCCACATCCCCACTGGCACGCCGCGCCTGCAGCAGGTCCTCAGCTGGCAGCACACTGGTGCCCAGCTGGGCCAGCACCTCACCCAGGATCTCACATTCCAGCCGGAGGGCGAAGCAGCCCAGGGCCACCTGCACCAGCTGGCAGGCAGGGGGTAGGGCAGTCACCATGAGCCGGTTGCTGTCCCTGCGCACGTAGCCCATCTTCTGGAAGCTCTTGAGGAGGAGGTCATCTGACAGCACACCCTTCAGCACGTGCACGTAGCCCCCGGAGAAGGTCTGCAAGAGAGCGGCCTGGTCAGAGGACCCCAGAGCACAGTGGGTCCAGGATCATCGGCTCAAGCCTTGGCAGCTTCTCATGCTTGGGCCCGACCCCAGAAACTAGGGTTAGCCGGTCTGGGTCAGGCCCGAACATCAGAATTTCTTTTTTGTTGTTATTTGAGACGCCATCACTCTGTCTTCCAGGCTGGAGTGCAGTGGCTCGATCTCAGCTCACTGCTGCCTCTGCCTCCCAGGTTCAAGCAATTCCCCTGCTGCAGCCTCCCCAGTAGCTGGGACTACAGGCACCTGCCACCAAACACGGCTAATATTCGTATTTTTAGTAGAGACAGGGTTTCACCCTGTTGGCCAGGCTGGTCTCGAACTCCCGACTTCAAGTGATCTGCCTGCTTTGGCCGCCCAAAGTGCTGGGTTTACAGGTCTGAGCCACTGTGCCCAGCCTAAGATTTCTTAAATTTAATGGCAAAAACAACTAATACAAAACAGAGCCCCTATACTGAGAAATTTCATTGTCTTGGTTCCCTGCCGCTCTCTTTCACCCCTGGAGATGGCCTAATCTAATTGGTTTTGGATGTACCTGCCCAGGTGTTTGTTTTGCAAACACAAATATAGATTTTGGTTTGCCCCTCTTATGAGGTGCCCACCCCTTTTCAGGGTCTCTAACCAAAGCTAGAATAGGTAGCCTCTTAAACATACTGTTCTGAACTTTTTTCCCATTGCAGTCTTGCCGATCAGGACGGAAGCTCCACCCCTCATTTTTCCCCTGCTGCCCTGCTGTGCAGTATTCCACCACCTGGAGGCAACGTCCGTTTTCAGAGCTCTCTAGAGGCTGTCCTTGCTCTGGGCTGGCAGCTGTAACAGAATGGTGAGTGCTTTCTAGCCTACAGTTAGGTGAAGAACTAAAGGGGCGTCAGGACAATCACTGCCAGCGTCTCCTGAATGTAAAATTCCCTAACTCCAAGAATGCCGGGACGCGGCCCACGTGCCAGCACCCAGTGCCTGCCGCACTGAGCCCAGGGCTTCCATTCATTCCTGCAGTCCCATGAACTGGACTGTCTTGTGTCCCTGTTTCAGAGGAGGAAAGAGGCTGAGAGAGAGGACGTAACGGCCAAGGCCTCCCGGCCAGGAGGCGGCAGAACTAGGTCCAACCCAGGGGTGCCGGGCACTGAAGCCCGGGTCGTTCTCTCGCCCTGCCTGGGAGGCCTCAAAGGCAGGCCTGTCCTTCCCTCTCGTGAATGAGAGTCCAGTGGACCAGCAGGTGTCCCCGGGGAGCCGCGGAGAGATTGCCGCTGCCATGGCAACCGGTGGAGGCGTAGCTCGCCCACGTGCGCAGTGACGTCATCCGCTTCCTACTCTTCCGAATTAGCTCAGAGCGGGCGGCCCTGCCCCCTCCTGCAGCCAGGAGCTCACCTGGAGAGACCAGGCCGGCCCCAGGCCAAGGAGTTCACCAGGTCTGTGCCCAGCCTTGCACCTTTACAGGGATACGCCCATCTGCAGTCCTCCCAGCCTCTGCAAATGGGAGTGGCCCATATCCTGGAGGAATCAGGATGACCGCGGGACCTCAAGTCCCTCCTGTGCCCCTGTCCCAAGATTCCCATGGCAGCTGGGGCCGCGAGGCTGCCTTAGGGAAGACACTGACGCACGATCTCGAGCAGGACAAGCCTGCCCTCGCCCACCATGTTCTCAGCCCTCAGAGTGGGTGCCCCAGCACGCCCACGACCCCTTGGCGCTCTCAGCCTTGAGACGCCCACCGGGCACTAAGGACGCTGGAAGCCCCTCTCTCCCGAAAGGCGCGGTCTCCCACGACCCGCAGGCCAGGACGAGGGGCGCGCTTCCGCGGGCCGGCGCCTACCTTGATGGTGGTGAACTCCTTTCTCCAGGGCAGCAGGTACAGGTGCACAGCGGCCAGTTCCAGCAGCTCGAAGGCGCGGGCCAGGCCGCGCAGCGCGGGCGCCAGGTCGGCGCGGCCCCACAGCCCGTCGGTGAGCAGCGCCAGCGCGTCGTCCTGCAGCGCCCCGTGCAGGTCGAAGTCTTCCACCAGGATCTGCCAGAGCACCGCGCGCAGCGAGGGGTCCCCGCACACGCCCGCGCGGCCCCGTCGCAGCTCGCGTTCCAAGCACAGGCGGTAGTCCTCGGACAGCGAGCTGCTGCCCATCCTGCGGCGCGAGGGGGGTCAGGGACCTCAGGCCGCGCCCCCGCTCTCTCCGAGCCCCCGCCCAGCGTCCCCAGGACCCCCCGAGCCTGGAGACCCCGCCCCCACCGGCTGAGCGCCCCGGGTATCCTTGGCACCCCCTACCCTTGGAGCCCCCGGCGCCATCTGCCCGCCCAGCCGGCGATCCGGCCCTCTCCAGCTGAGCGCCCCCGCACCCCCGCCCCCTCCGCAGCCGGGGGACCTCGGCCTTCCAGAGGCGCCTCGGTTACCGACCGCACCCTTCCCTAGAGACGCGCTTCCGCCCGCTGAGCCCTCTCCCGACCAGAGCCCCCTCGCCCGGCAGATGGAGCTGCGGAACTCGCGGGAGATGGAGCTACCTGTCCGTCCCCAGCGGTCCCCGGCAGCCACCGCTCAGTTCGGGGCTCCGCGTGCGCCGTGCGCTTCCGCCGGGAGTCGACTCCGCCCGGGGCCCGCGGCCTTGACGCCGGGGCCGGCGCTTGGCCAGGCCCCACCTCCAACTAATTTAGAGGGGCGGGGCCTCCGCGCCTGGGCGGGGCCTGGTGAAAGCCGGAAGGAGGCGGTGTCCCGCCGGGCCGAGCACCTGCGCGAGGCGCCCTGCGAGCCTCCTCTCACCGCGTCGCCCGTCTCCCCACGGGACCCGTGTCTTTCACGACGCCCCAGGGCCCAGGGCTGCGGGCTCAGGGGAGGCGTTCCGTGAAGGTTGTGCCTGGGCCGCTCCTCCCTACGGGACAGGGACCAAGCCTCTGGCGTCCCGGCGCGGGGTAGCAGGTGCGCCGGCTTGTCCCCCTCCGGGGCGGGGCCACCTGCATTGCCTGCGGGGATTGGCTGGATCCTGGAAAGAGCCCTGCCCCCTGGGCGGGGCCACGTGCATTACCTGCGGGAATTGGCCAGGCCCGGGGGCGGGCCTCTCCTGCGGGGCGGGGCTATCCACTTGTGGGCGGTGCCCGTCGCGGAAGATGGGAGCAAGGACAAGCCTTTTTCAGCCTCGTCTCAGGTGGGTGCCGGGACCTCGGGTTCTATTTCTGCCGGTTCTGCTTACCGGCTTCCCGCACTTGTCATCGGCCGCCCTTGAGAGCAGCGTCTGGGCGGGTCTCTGAGGCAGCGGGAAGGGGCGCCCTCTCTAGGCTAAAAGCTGACCTGGGCTCCAGATGCATCCAGGCCAAATGCGGACCACGACGTCCCAGGGGCGTTTTCTTCGCTCGGGTTCCTCTGTCCTGTGCTAAAGCCATTTTCTCGCATTGCCCAGGAGAGGAGGATGAGGGAGACTCGTGGGGGTCCCAGCCTAGACCCCCCCCCTACACTCCAGCTTTGGGCAGGCTCTGCTCCTTCCCGTCTGTGCCCCTCACCTCTCCAGGCCACAAAAACCAAGGCCCAAGTTTGTTGAAACTTTCCGTGGGCCGCGACGTCTCTGCTTTTTCTTAAATTACAGTTTTAAAAATACTGTAATCGTGGCCGGGCATGGTGGCTCACACCTGTAATCCCAGCACTCTGGGAAGCCGAGGAGGGCGGATCAGTTGAGGTCGGGAGTTTGAGACAAGCCTGGCCAACATGGTGAAGCCCCGTATCTACTAAAAATACAAAAATTAGTCGTGGTGGCCCATGTCTGTAATCCCAGCTACTTGGGAGGCTGAGGCAGGAGAATTACTTGAACCCTGGAGGGGAAGGTTGCGGTTGCGGTGAGCCAATATCACGCCACTGCACTCCAGCGTGGGTGACGGAATTGGACTCTATTTTTTTAAAATTGGTGATGGAGTCGATATATCTCCCTAAGTCATCTGGGTGGCCACATCTGGACAGGGAGCTCTTTTACTTACTGTTGACTGAACCCAGCCGTGGTGCCCAGTGCCACCTCAGTGGGCAGCTAACTTCCTATGCCTCCAACTCCTCTATTTTCTTTTTCTGGTGCAGAGGAGGGTGGAGGTAACTTCTCTCCCTCCATCCTCACTGAATCCGGTGGCCCCAGTCCATCCATCCAGCAGTGGGCCTAGCTCTACTTCCATAGGCCTGGGTGGGCGGGGGTTGTACCTGCCTCAACCCATGGAATAGAACTGGTGTGGTGTGAATTCTAAGGCTAGATCACAAACATGCCATGCCCTTGGCTTTGTCTTGAGATACTGGGCCTCTGATACGGTTTGGGTTTGTGTCCTCTCTCAAAATCTGTTTTTCTTTTTTTGAGATGCAATTTCACTCTTGTTGCCCAGGCTGGAGTGCGGTGGCGCAATATCGGCTCACTGCAACCTCCACCTCTCAGGTTCAAGCAATTTTCCTGCCTCAATCCAAGTAGCTGGGACTATAGGCATACACCACCATGCCCGGCTAATTTTGTATTTTTAGTAGAGACCGGGTTTCTCCATGTTTGTCAGGCTGGTCTTGAACTCCTGACATCAGGTGATCCACCCTCGTCAGCCTCCCAGAGTGCTGGGATTACAGGTGTGAGCCACCGAGCCAGGCCTCAAAATCTTGTCTTGCATTGTAATAATCCCCATTTGTCAAGGGTGGGACCAGGTGGAAATAATTAAATCATGGGGACAGCTTGCTCCATGCTGTTCTCATGATAGTGAGTTCCACCAGATCTGATGGTTTTATAAGGAGTTTCCCCCTTTGCTTAGTTGCTCATTCTCTCTCCTGTCACCCAGTGAGGCACTGCCTTCTGCCATGATTGTAAGTTTTCTGAGGCCTCTACAGCCATGTGAAACTGTGAGTCAATTAAACCTCTCTCTCTTTTTTTTTAATAAATTACCCAGTCTCAGGCAACTTAAAAAAAAAACAAAAAACAAAAATGGAGTTCCGCTCTGTTGCCCAGTCTGGTGGACTGCAGTGACAAGATCTCAGCTCACTGCAGCCTCCGCCTCCAGTATTCAAACAGTTCTCTGCCTCAGCCACCTGAGTGTCTGGGATTACAAGTGCCCACCAGCACACCCAGCTTTTTTTTTTTTTTGGTGTATTTTTAGTAGAAACAGGGTTTCACCATCTTGGCCAGGCTGGTCTTGAACTCCTGACCTTGTGATCCACCCACCTCACCCTCTCAGTCCTGAGATTACAGGCATGAGCCACCACGCCCGGCCAGTTCTCAGGCAGTTCTTTACAGCGGCATGAGGACAGACTAACGCAACCTCAGAGCCCAGCCCACTATAGTGAGGAAGCTGTGGCCATCTGTGGAGGTTTTGTGCTGCACTTCTACCTGAAATTCACATTCACCTGGAGTCTGTGAGTGGGATTTTATTTGGAAATAGTTTTTCCAGACAAAATCAAGTTAAGATGAGGTTGTTCCGCGTTGGCATGGGCCCTAAATCCAGTGACTGGTGTCCTTATGAGAAGAGACAGACATGGAGCCGAACCCCGGGAGAGGAGACCGCCTGAAGATGGAGGCGGAACCTCGAGGAGCCGTGAGCTAAGGTACCACCAGCTGTGTTAGAGCCACCAGAAGCTGGAGGCAAAAAGAATCCTCCCCTAAAGCCTCCAGAGGGAGTCGGCTTGCCTGCAGCTTGGTTTTGACTTGAGGCCTGCAAATGATGGGAGAGTACATCTCTGCTGCCGCAAGCCACCTGTTTTGTCACGCGGGCAGCGCCTGGAGACCCACCCCAGCCTCACGTTGTCATCGTGATAGCCCTGACTGGGGTCCCAGACGACAGCTTTTCGGATGAATGCAACCCCCGGTCGCTGGGTTACCACCTAGAAGCTGCACCTAGAGCCACCCAGCTGACTTCTGTATTTTCTTTTCCTTTTTAAAAAAAATACTGAATTTTTGTATTTTTTTTTTCCTTCTATTTTTAGTAGAGACAGGGGTTTCACCACATTGGCCAGGCTGGTCTCAAACTCCTGACCTCAGGTGATCCACCCGCCTCGGCCTCCCAAGGTGCTTAGCCTAATTTTGGATTTTTTAGTAGAGATAGGGCCTTACTGTGTTGCCCAGGCTGTTAAACTCCTGGACTCAAGTGATCCTCCCACCTCAGCCTCCCAAAGTCCTGAGATTCCAGATGTGAGCCACCATGCCCAGCCTAGTGTGTACTTCGGCCCATGAGTTGGGGTAGTTTGTTACTCAGTGGTAGCCACACGGGCTGCATGCATTCCCAGCTCCCTCGTGTCCACCCAAGGACACTCCGTAGGCTGTGTGCATTCTCTGCTCCTTCCATGACCTCCTGGGAGGGACACTCCATCATCTCGACCACATATGAATACACGTCCTCTAAAACTGAGATCAGCCTTGCTAGGTCACAGCGTCCGTCTGCACTTATGGTCTCCAGGACTGCACCTGGTCCTCTGGGGCCACTGCCCTGTCCACCCCACGGTGCTCAAGTCCCCTCCCCAGCCAGACTCACCCTCGCCCAGCTTCCTCATCTTCTGCAGTCCAGCTGATACAACGCTAAATTGTACTTTTCCTTTGATTTTTGTCACAATTTGAACGCTGCTTCTTATGCAGAGTCGCTTTTCAATATTTATTTATGTATTTATTTTTGAGACAGAGTCTTGCTCTGTAGCTCAGGCCAGAGTGCAGTGGCGTGATCTCAGCTCACTGTAATCTTTGCCTCCTGGGTTCAAGTGATTTACCTGCCTCAGCCTCCCATGTAGTTGGGATTATAGGCACATGCCACAACGCCCAGCCAATTTTTGTATTTTTTTTTTTTTTTTTTTTTTTGACGGGGTTTTACTCCTTTTCCCCCGGCTGGGAGGCAGT